CCATATAGATTTATACACAAATTCACGCTCCCCCTCCAGGAGACTCTGGTCATAACTCTTACAGAACTTTAAACGTACACTATTGTTTAGATATATAGGTACTGTGAAGATTCGTCTGACTAGAATACTAACAGATTTTTCCCTTGGTGCAAATCGTTGAGATTCGTTATTAAATAACAATAGTTGTACTCGTTGACTAAATATTTCGTTTCATTTCACTTAGTTTATTGAAAATAATCCACTTTGAATATTTCTCAAAATGACCAAATTTTTTCGGAAGGTGTCAAGTCATGTCTTGTGTAAAATCATGACTTGTGTAAAAATTATGACTGCAGGTTTATGACATGCATTTTTCAGCTTTATAACATACAACTTATCACTTGTGTTCTGAAAGTTTTATGACAACAATTTTATGACATGTAATTATTTCTATCATAACAGCCCTATTTTGTACATTTTCTTGATAAAATTATTTATTAAATATTTATAAATAATCACTAATAGTTTGCAAACAAAATATTCCTTATGTTGTGGCTAAAATATTCTCCTAACATCATGAGTTTTGTAAAATTTTAAGTTTATGAAAATTATCTTGAAATAACGTTTCAATACATACACACACACCCAAACATACAAATACGTGCAATTATCCAAGGATTTGAATAAGGTTTGACTTGTATTCTCCCCCAAAAATAATAAAACTTGAAAAAGTAGGGGTATGAAGCTCACATTGGTTTAGCTTGATGGGTGATTTAAAGAAGTGTTAAGGAGCTTCCAAGTTCCAACACTTCAAAGGTTCTTTGAACTTTAGAAGATCCTAAGAATAATTTTAAGTGTAAATATAATGAAATCCTAGGAATAATGTGGAGAATCACTAGTCAAAGAAGATGAGATACTTACAAAAATCTGGGAATTTTTCTTTCGAAGGAATGAGACTTGAAGCTTGAATGAGTTGAGAGCACCTCTTAGGAGTTTACTGAGTGTGAAAATGAGAAGTGGAATAAGGGGGAAAGGAGTTGATGCATCTAAATGGAGGGGATAAGGGATGATTTGACATTTGCTTGGAGGGCTGGTGGACAATCCTTATTATCTATGGGTAATATGGGTTTTACTGAGATTTGCATGGGAAAATGGGGGATTTGCATCACATCATAAGGTCAAACCCTTATCTACTTAGAATCCCTTTAAAAATCATGGGTATTATTTTATATAAAGATGTTTAAAATAATCAATTTTGGCATAAAATAGGGGCTTAAGGGGTCTAAGATATGAAAAATACGAGTTTGGAGGAATTCTTGACGTCAAAATATCCTAAACTGAAGAAAAAGTCCGAAATAGACAAAAATCCGGAGTGTAGTCCGGAATCTGCCAGGGTCCGAAGGGCTTAGGGGAGTTCCGGAGTCATTCACTCAGTTCCGGAGTGTTTTCCTTAGTTCCAAAGCTCTTCATAGATTTCCGGAGTCGAGGTTTGCGAGCGTTCCGAAACGTACGAGGCATTCCGGAGTGGATAGCCTTCCGAGAGAGCATGGCCCGGATCATGCGAGATCCCCCGGCTGAGGAATTCTGGAGCCCAAAGCTGAAGGTTCCGAAGCTGTTCTTCCCATTCCGGACCAAAATAGCAAGTTCTGAAGTAGAGAGGGGTTACGGCCCAAGAGGGTTCCGAACCAAGAGGGTTCCGGACCAAGAGGGTCCTTTGGGTTTTCTCCTTAGGCTTTGAGCTGTTTTTGACTGAGGAAGGTACATAGAGAGATTTGAGAGAGATTTGATATACTTGGAGAGATTTGGGAGAGATTTCATATACTTGGAGAGATTTGGGAGAGATTGAGAGATACATAAATACTTTGCATTATAATAATACATGGTTCATTAGGGCCCATAATATAACCCTAAATGCAATGATACAAGCCTTACAATAATTGGTGCTTACATGAGAGCAAAATTTCCTAGCTAAAAAGGCTAGTTGTGACAAGTTGCTATGACAACTCCCTCTTCACGTATCATCCGGTATATGGACTATTTCTTTACCACTATATGTAAAAGATATAATTCTCAAAACTTCCTCCTCCTCTTTGATCACCAAAATCACCTCCCGTCCGTCAAATGAATTTTCCATGATCGAATTAGGTTATTTTTTTTCCCTTAGCATTGATACTTCACCTACCGAGTAAGGTATCTCCTTGTCTCAGATAGCCTTTACTAAAGAAAACATTTCTCGTGTTGACATGTCTACCTATAATCCCTTCGCCTTATCGATGGACACTTAGTCTAAACACTCGTCTCGAAGAAAACCTGATCCAACTTTATATCATAGCCTAGTTGTGGGCCTTGCAATATCTGACATTCATTCGTCTTGATATCTCATATGCGGTTCGAAAAATCTATCTTTATATGCATGATCCTTGTGAGACTCATTTTTGTTGTCCTAAATAGTATAATTCGATACCACTCTCACACATGGCCTTCATCCCCGTCCAACTTTTTTTTGATGCTGATGCTGATTGGGCTGGTTTTCCTCAGACTCACCGCTCCACTTTTGGGTTTTGTATATTACTTGGCAATAATCACGTGTCTTGGTGCTCTATAACACAATAGGTTGTCCATTGGGGTAGCCAATGTCGTTGTCGAAGGCATAGCCCATGTCATTGTGGAAGATGTCTGGCTTCACAATCTTCTTCTCGAGTTGTCGTGTCCTCTATGTCGTACTACGATTATTTTTGTGACAAGTCTAGTGCCATGTATTTAGCTTCTAACACAGTCAACCCTAAAGAAACAACCATATAGATATAGACTTAAATTTTGTTAGGGAACTTATTGATATTGGAAATGTTGGTTCTACATGTTCCTTCAGCTCGCAATTTTACAGATATATTTACAAAAGGACTACCTTCACAACCATTTTTAGACTTTAGAGTCAGTTTTAGTATAAGAAAATTTATCACTCAAACCGAGGGGGTTGTTAAAATATATTTATTTGTGATTAGTTTCTATTAGTGTATATCATAAACAATGCAATAAAAACCCTACCGGGATTGTCATATTTCAACAGATTATGTTTAGAAAAAATGTGAAAATTCCTTTATAATATATGAACCATTTATTCTTTAATTTTGTGAACCGAAACCCGCATGGAATCCATTGACTCTATAACATTACGCCTTCATGTGTGAATCTTTTTACAACGTTTACAAATTAAGCCTTTTCGTATAATAGTTTTGCTTACTTTGATTTGTAACATTTATTGCAACAGCCACATTTAGTAAACATAGCTTGCAATAATTTCTGTTTGCCATTTTTCATAAAATATCGAAGAATAAACTATTGCAATGCTTGGCTACAGTTTCATCATCAATATTTGACCTCTCATTTCTTATAAGATCACTCATTCAATCCTACAAGAAGTTGAATCAACCTTTGATCTTCCATTTATTTCGCTCCCCATGAATAATCAGGAATTTCTTGAGCGAGTCTTAATTCATCCCGAACTCTTTTTCGTTTGGACGAGTCAATATCATATGTCGCTAATATTTCTAAAATCGGTCAACTTTTAGTCATTTGAAGCAAATAAAAGACATAATATCACGTTGCTAAAAAAACTTCCTTGCTAGTTCTGCAACTTTTTATCAGCAAGGAGGTTTTTACTGACGGAATATTGATGTCGCTGATACAAGGATGGAGCTTGGATAATCAGAATATCTAAGGAAGAACACACTAGAAACTTCAGTTGGAATTAAAGTTTGCACCATTCGACATCATGAACTTGAACTTGAAAGAGGCGGATTGATTGATTATTTGAGGATCAGAACCACTCTGATACCATGGAGAAACAAAGTATTCAAGGAGAAAGTTAATGAAAAATGAATTTGGAAATAGATTTGTATTGAATATATTGATTTATTCTTCATACACAGACTATATACAGTCACAAATAACCGACCAAACTAACAAGAACTAATATCTTCACTTACAACTGGACAAATAGGAATGAACATATCTAACTAACTCAATTTATATCTAAGAATACATGACTAAACTGATACATAGAGTTTGTGTCGTTTTCTTTTGTATTTTGAGTGTTTATTATATGGATACATATTGAATTGAAAGATGCATATGATAAAGTACCAATCTTAACTTGGATAGTACAAACAAATTATTATCTTGTTCTTTGGTGTTACTAATTCAGGGTTCTATTTTGGATTATGAAGATTGTTGAGGTACTAAGTTGTAAAAGTAGCCTAAAGACTGAATTAAGGAAACAAAAGAAATCATGATGGAGGCTCCTCATGTAGATCACAAGGTAGCATATTATAATGTTGTTGGAAATACATAAAAAATAAAAAGAAATAACAATAATTCATTCAATTCTTGCCATTGTTTCAAGATTGAGAAAGAAGACGAACATAAGAACACTTGAAGATCTTATATATTCCCAAATTGCGATAATTCTAAAGTATTGTTTCGCTGTCTTTAATAGTTTAGATTCATATTTGTTTGTATTTCATATTGTTAGAAATTTCAGTCATTTTTTTAACGACAAATCTATTCTACAAATTTTAGTCATTGAATTTTAAAAGTTAAATAATCCTTTGAAGATTAAATAAAAGTTCTCATAAATATTTGAGATGTTCTTGATATATCTAGTCAACTTTTAATTATTGATTTATTACATGGTATCATATCCAAAGCGAAGATTCGATATATAAGAAATCTAGGTACCAACAAAATATTTATTGAGTCAGCTTTATAATTAGAATTTGTCTAATTTATTGACTCACATCATCGTGTATAAACTAAGTTATTAATACATTAGTTTCTTTGTAACAAGTCAAACCGGGAGTTTTGCAAGTTAATTAGCATCCACTTGAAATCTTGAATAATCCTTCTACACAAACATTTTGTTGATAATGGATATAGAAAATTAATTTTATTATAGTAAAGTTGTATGGAAAACAATCCATCACTTAACTGTTTTCCTAATCACAAATTAACATTCTATATATTCTCAAATTACAAAAGTACATTTTTAGGTTCAAGATTGTTTCATCTTACAGTCACTCTGTTTAACAAAGATTCCATGGCCATATGTTGAAGAGATCAGATCCACAAGCAACGGTAATTGTAGTGTCACGAACGAAGCAATTGGCAAACATGTTAAGGTAGATATAGGAATCATGATCCATGCTTTTCCCTGCCCAAACATAAGATACAAGGTTGCACTAAAGGCTACCATCATTGAGGTTACCGACAAGAATAACATTGCAAGGCCTAGTATTAGTCTCTTTGGCAGCCTGTAGAGAAAATCCTCCTCTCGATAACGTGCTGTCAGAATAGATAGGAACAACAACAAGGAAGTAGTTGACGAGAACAAAGATATTGCATCCGAGATTGCAAATACAATGAAGCTAGGTTTTGTTTCATAAATTGCTTTCCCAGTGACATCATCATTTCCACCAGGTACGGTAATCGCTGCTGCAAAAACTATGGTAATGATGAGTGCAGCGACGATTGTATATGAATCTGCTGTCTTCTTCATCCATTCTTCTCCTTCATTCCTCAACTGCTTGTGTTCTCTTCTGAAAACCATAATTGGTGTCTCTTGTGATACGTTTTTTTGATACTTGTACTTCGGTTTCACAAAATTCCCCACTTCCTGTAATTTTATCAATATAAAAGCAAGTAACTTAAATCTAAAAACTTTTGACATAAAGAAAACCATGCTCACCTCAAACCATTGTAACTCCCTTTGCATTTGTAGCGCTGCACCAGAAACTCGATTAAGTTTGTGTGTTGGTGCCAATTGTCCAGCCAAGTGTAATGTACTATTTTTAACTTTGTCACAACCTTGTTGATAACGATATTGGTCATAAGACATATGACATAACAGAAAATTATATAACTTCTCACAACGCTTTTTTATTGCAACTTGAAAAAGGGTACAACCATTGATGATGACCAAAGTTGACCCTGGAAAGTGTTGAATGATTTGTTCTATTACTTCAGGAGTATCATTATGCGCTGCAATACTTAGTGAATCTTGATAATGTTCACAAATATCACTCAGTGTGTCTATTTTAGCAACTTCTTTGCAAATAGACTTCAGTACCAAAAGAGCTTCTTGATGTTTTACTTTTTCCTCTTGGAGATGCTTAATGTGTGCCACTACAGTTAATTTGAGAGAGGCAACCATTCAATCTTCAATGTAAAATAATCAAGTTGGCACTATGTGTAAAATTTCTCTTGTTATTTAAATCATATTTTTCATTCAAAGGATAACATTCAAGCATATATATAAAGTTAAAACAAGTTACTATTATACATTTTAAGAAAGACCATTCCATGACTCATGATCGATCAACAATAAGGAAGTATGTATGTGAAGTGTAATAGAAAGTATGATCCATAACATAACATATTTTGTTTCAACATTTAGAGTTAGGATGAATGTAACATTTAGCCTTGAAAGTTAGGATATCTAAAATATACAAGAGCCTACAATATTTGATTGGAACGAAAGCCATTAAAGGTATCCCTAAACTTTCTCTTCGTGAAACTTAAAAGCATGGACAACATGAACAAATAACCATAGTCTGAGATCCTAAATTTCAAAGTATTTGTACAAGTTCAAACTTATAACTCCTACACACATGGATATTATGGGGTCAATAAAAATTGAAAGAAAAGGACCAAAATATTTTTTCATGGTGATATCTTAGGATACCTACATCTGAGCCAATATCGTTCAAGTTTCTTGATCTTAATTACCTCTTCAATTCATTTTTTCTTGCTTCCATTGTTACAAATAATTGGTATCATAGCTCCAAGAGGAAGGATCGACTGAACATTCTTGAAGAATCTTAGGTTGCGTTTTCTTGTGGATCGATTGAGGAGGGTGAAGGGTTTATTAGGTGATAATGCAATATCGTTTTTTCATAAGGTTTCTCAATCTAAAGAGATCAAGAACATCAAGTATTGGGTGTGCAATTGTTCTGGGCATTTTCGACTTACAAAAAGGTATAAAAGACAACCACAAATTCAGTTTGTTATTTGATTTGTGTCTTTTCTTGTTTTTTTGGGTGTTGGAACGAAAATGGGATCTCTCCACTATCAAAATTTTATGTCAAGGTGAAGTCTAAAATCCTTCACACCAATTATCGATCAAAATGTTGAAATAAGTGTTCTTAAAATTCTTGGGTTGAAGAAGAGTAGGATGACTACGTTCTACACATATATAGAGTTTTACCCGCAACAGTGGGTTTCCTATGACAAAAACACCCAAGCATCTATGCCGCGTCAAACACGGCTGCGGATATTTCTCTTGAGCCATGGGTTCGACAATGGTAACTAGAAAGTGTTAAAAAGAGTTATAAATTACACGTAAAAGTCATGACATTTGACATGGATACATAAATTCCTTCTTCACTTCAGAATGTGACATGGATATAGATACAAATGTCTTCTGATTGGTTTCTAATGATTTTATTTTGATTGGAGGTAATGGAATATATATGGAGATCGACATTTGGGGTCATGTCTGGTTCTTCTAGATTGGTCATATTAGGATGAGTTCCATTAATTATGCTACATGTTCTTCCATTGTTATTTAGCCTAAGTTCCATTGAGAATGATAAAATAAAGTTAAACAGATTTCATACTTCAAAGAACTTCTTTCTTAGCAGCTTATAAGTTAAGTAATTGGCAGGTAGATCTAATCATATTATAGGGTTCATTGAGAGTCTGGGTGCCTACGGTTATGTGAAGGGCTTCCAGTACAGGAGCTTCTAGTTGATTTGGTGCAGTCAAGCAGCAGTTGAGGGTCCATAGGCAACCTAAGACGATAGGGAGAGCTAATTGTAGTCCTACCATGATAGTGGGAAAGGCTGCCATGGGACATCATCTTGTTGTCGTCCAAAGGTTTGGAACTGGTTTTTTTCATCGATTCCCCATATGATTGTTGTTGGAGCGGGAGTTTGATCGACAGTTGTTTCCATTTGGAAGACGGGTTTGGTTGGAGTTGGAGGAGGGGGGCGTGTCTAGAACTGTGGGGGGAAAACTGATCTGATTAGTAGGGCATTGTTCTTCTAGGGGAAACATGGAGCGAGCTTGTAAAAAAATTGGTAACAGAAGACATTGGCAGATAATTGTGGTTATGATCTCAAAGTTGGACGACAATCCTTTAATCAAGTAGCTTACGAGGATCTTTTCATCAATAGGTACGAGTGCATGGATATTAACTAAGAGGTCGGATATACACTACAAGAAAATTCCTAAATAGCTACGGAAAATTGCTACGGAATCAAAATCCGTAGCGATTCTACTATGGAATATGCTATGGAATGGATTGTCGTAGCTATTTTGCAACGGAAATGGCTATGAAATTGTATTCCGTAGCTAAATCATGAATAGCAACGGAAAGTTGCAACGAAATCAAAATTTGTAGTTATTATATGACGGAATATGCTACGGAATGGCGGGTCGTAGCTATTTTGCTACGAAAATGGCTACGAAGTTGCATTTTCGTGGCTAAATCCCGAATCACTACTGAAAGTTGCTACGGAATCGAAATCTGTAACTATTTTACTACAAAATATTCTACGAGATTCTTGGTTGTAGCTAATTCGCTACAAAGCATGTTACATGTAGGTAGTTGGCTACAAATTTTGCTACAGAATCAAAATCCGTAGCTAGTTGGCTACACAATTGAAATATGTAATTATTTTGTTACAAAAATGTGCTACACAATAAAATACCTGTAGCAAATCTGCTACGGAATTGGTTACGTAAAGGTTGACCATAATAAATTTATATATTCCATGAAGCCTAAACTTAAACCCAAATCACATTTGATTACTTCCTCATTCCTTAGTCTCTCTCTCTCTCTCTCTCTCTCTCTCTCTTTCTCTCTCTCTATCTATCTCTCTCTCTCTCTCTCTCTCTCTCTCTCTCCCCCTCCCCCCTCGGGTACTCCAAATCATCGCTCATTTCTACTTCCGTGATTATCGATCGGACTGTACTCTACGTTCTCTGCAGTGCAGGGAGCTCCCTCATCTTGTCTGATTCATCGTTTGCCGCCTACTTCGTTAATCGGTTGGTATGATCCATTCATTTTTCTGTATTCCATCAATCCTAAAATTAAACCTAATTCCCCCAAAAATAATTCCTCCTTCCTAAAAGCGATATTGTTGTTCTCGACCGGTGATCCTAGTCGCATTCATGTTCACTTTGCGTTGGCATACTCCTCGTCGCCACTATTGTTCTCAACCGTCTTCGTTCCGACTAGTCTGTATACACATCTTAACGATTGAGTCAATTTCGCTCCATTAATGTTGCTCAGGCTTGAAGAAAGTCATCCCCAAGAGTCACAAACGAATCCGTCCAGAAGGCTGTAAGTGATGACACCTCATTCTCAGCATTCTCAGGCTTCTCAAGCTCAGACCACCGCCGTGTCACCAATGTCAGTGCTAGACTGGACGCCCAACAGAACAAACTAAACCTTCCAATCCTCCTAACTACCACCATTGGCTCTTTCCCACAAACCGTCGAGCTCAGGAGAGTTCGACGTGATTATAAGGCTAAAAAGTGAGCAATTTATATACTTTTATATAGTTTAACAATAGTTTTATTTGCTGGATTGAATGACATGGAGGGACGGATACATGGTGTACAGTTAGGATAATCCAAAAAAAGTGATAAGAAAAAGGGTAGAGAAGTCATGCACTTCAAGTGTTCGACGAATTGCTTGAGAGAATAGTTTTGCTGGGTTTAAGTACCAATTGCTCATTTTCTTACATACTTTTTGAGTTGGATGTCCCTATGAAACTATGATCATGGATCATAGTTATTCCTTTGTGCTCTAATAGTATACTCAAAAAAAGAATGGGTGAAGTTTGAGAAAAAGATGATGCACGCCTCAATAATGAGTGAGTTTCTTTGAAATCAAAAAATGGTGTCACAAAAAAAAAGTTCTTTCTCCATAAAAAATTATCTTTAACTAGCTTCTACTCTTCTTTTTTCTTTCATAACATACCATTTTAGGTGGAAGTAAACTGTTGTTGAATCTGTTAGCAGATAACATTTTGTGTTTTCTTGTTGGTTTTTCAACAAATTCTCTTCAAAGATACGAGTTCATGGTTTACGAGATGTTTGTTTGAGAATTAAGTCATGCATGATTGTTTATTTTTTGGGGTTTATTAAAAAGAAATTAGCTTAAAAAGTAATCTATTAAGGTTTTAGGTGTTGATCATAAAAATGACCAAAATGGGTGGAGGTTGTAAAAAGAAAACCATATTTCCAAAGTTTCTTATGTTGGGGACCTTGCCTGTCTGCCTGCCTCATTATATTTTTCATGTGCTTACACACCACATTGAATGGTAGTTGAACATAAAAATAAATTTTCTTGATGTGGCTAACAACATTGATCCATAATCATGTTCCTCATTGTTTATCAGATCAGATTCTATGGGAAAATACCTAATAAACTACACGTCTTTTCACAAGAACATTCTTCTATATTGACTTACTTTATTCTTGTGTTCTCATCTTAGTAGAAGAGTTTTGACCATATGTTCCTGTTAGTAGCCAATACTAAGGGGTGATTAGTGTATTATGTTCGAATGAATCAAACTACAACACAAGTGCACAGGGATCAAAGCAACAGATTGATGGAAATGGAATGTCAAATTTTCCTGTTTCTTTGGAGACATATCTATCAATGTACATTATTGCAGGGTGTCATCCAAATTTAAGATGCAATTTTGATAAACTTACTAAACAATTTAAGTGGTTGGATATTAATGGATTGATTAAGGAAAAGAACAGGGTGGCGGTTGTTCCATATTTTTCGGGGTATAGTGAAAGGAATGAGAATGAGAATGCTAATGCTATTGTTCCTTTTCAAGACATGGGAGTGTAGTTCCATATGAGGGTTTGTTTAATCCGGTTAGGAAAAGAAAGCCACAACCTAAAGTTGGTATTCATGATGAAAAGAGTAGAGTTTGTATTTTAATAAATGTTCTACTTTTTAATATTTGTGATCTTTTGTAGGTTGGGGCTTTATTTTAACTAATAAAAGGCTTCATTAAAGATTTGGATGACGATGATAATAACCCGGTTAAATAAGTTAATTCATGTTTTCACTTATATTAATATGCATATTATCAGATGTTTTGTATGATGCCATTTTATAAAGTTTTTTTTTGGCTTATGCAGATGGATGTGGACGATTTTATTGAAGAGTAGAATTAGTTGCACGTTTAATTAAAATGTTGTATTATAATGATCCTAAAGAGATGTTAAAGGTATTTGATGATTTGATGTTTACACTTACAATTTATCAAAAGGAAAAAATAAGAATAATACGAAAGTGGTAAAATGCTCATTTTATGATGTATTTATGTAATTACTTTTTATTTATATAATGTGTAATTACATATTATATGCCTCTAAGAAGCCTATTATGACCGGAGGACCGAAGCAACTCCCATTCACAATTCCTCCACTTATATACAACACTCTCAAGGTTTTATTCTCTTTAGATGATTTTAATCTGTTTGATCATATTTATAATTTGTTTAACCCACAATTATTTTATCTTATTTTATGGATTTTTGTACAGTGAGTATGAGACATCAAAAAAGATTTTTCAATTATTGAATCAGGTAACAAATTCTCATTTATTATAATTATTAAAAAAATATTTGGAATGTGTTGAGGTATGTGATGTGATGTCTGAAATGTGATGTGAAGTCTGAATTTTTTAACTTTTATATTATTATTATTATTGTTGTTATTTTATAATTTCTGACATCCACTACCTTTGTAGGCTACAAACGACTGTCGTTTCACACAAGCATACATATTATACGAAGAATAATTTTTTGGTAAATTTTAAATTTTATCTTACGCAAGTGGTGTCAGTGCACTTCCATTTATTTGCTTATTATAGCATTGTACTTTCAATTTTTTCTTATTAGAACGTTACATTTTGAAAAGTCTACCAAATTATATCAATGAAAATTACTTTGTAAATAGTTTGGTAGATTTTTCGATGTTCTAATAGGATGAAATAAGAGTAGGATGCTATAATAAAGAAATAAATGAAAGTAGTTGTTATTTCTTAACCCTTTTTATCTTATATCTTATTTTATTTGTATTGGTTTTGTCTAGATTCGAAGGCACATGTAACAACATTATAACTAATTATGGAACAATGTCAATAATAACTTAATAAGATCGGTATGCATGTTCATTTTCTTTACCTTTTATAATTGAAAATAAATGATTTGTTTTCAACTTTATTTCAAAAGGATGTGACATCATGTGACAAATTCATATCCTTTTGGCATCATGTGATAGCTTGGAAAGAGAAAAGATAAGACAACAATTTTATTTTATTTCTTGATGGTGATCAAAAGATGATTTGTTTTATTTTTTGTGTATATGTTAATAGTGCGTCAAATAAAAGAGATGACTTGTTTTTATTTTAAATTCATTTTCAGATTTCATACAACAGATTGAACTTTAATCAAGTTTACTGTAAATTTGGTTTTGCAGGTTTTACCATTTTGGCTGAGCATATGTGGTTGTTTGTGTGTTCGTGGTGGTTCAGTTGAACTGTCACTGTATTTGTAATTAATATTCAGTTTTGATGATTAAGCAATCTTGTAGAAGAATTTTCAATGATGTAATATATCTATCAAATTGATGTAATTATTAAATTTTTATTTACTATATTTTTACTTATTTTATGAATATTATAATTGGAAAATTGGATTTGGTTGAATAATTTTATCATACTGAATTTGCTTTGGAACCTATTGTTAAGGAACCAATGGCTACGGAATTCGCTACGAAACAATTGACTACGGAATTTGCTATGGAACAAATAGCTACGAAATTTGCTACAGAATAATTGGCTACGGAATTCGCTACGGAACAAATGACTACAAAATTTGTTACGGAACAAATGACTACAGAATTTGCTACGGAACAAATAGCTATGGAATTTGCTACGGAATTTGCTACGGAACAAATGGCTACGGAATTTACTACGGAATTCATTGTTACGGAATTATTATGGAAGTGTGTTGTAGTTGAATTGCTATGGATAGACGTCGTAGCAACGACCATAGAAAAATTGCTACGGAACTATAATTTCGTAGTTAAACATTTTGCTACAAGAAATCTTGCTATGGAATCTCATTGGCAAATTCCGTAGCAACTTCCGTAGTTATTTAGGTTTAGCTACGAAATTTTTCCTTAGTTAAATCGAAATTTTCTTGCAGCGATAAGTTTCATCTTAATCGCACAGGCGTCCTTATTGTCACGAAAACAGATAGGGTGGTGGCGCCTTTCTTGAGGGACAACCCCAAGATCTCAGTTTCATAAAATAAAAATAAGTAAAGACAATAAAATAACTCATTAATTAGATCAAACCATATTTGTGAACGACACTCTATCTATCCAACGCAAAATTTAAGTGGAAATCAAAGGAAATTTTGCTTACCTTTTAGTAGGGCAGCTTTCCATATTTTCACATACATCCTCTCGATGACTACATAAGAAATCAGATTTCATTGTATGAATATGAGGTAATATAAATATATAAAACTTAATTGAAATTAAAACAAATTCATGCTATAGAATTTAATGGTGGAATCCAATATTAAATCTTAATCAGATCCAATCTGAATATGATCAATAGTTCAAGTTTTGACGCTAATTCTAAGAATGTAATCAAAAGGTTGTGAGGCTATATAGCCTCAAAAAGCCAAATTAGCATATCACGTGGTGTTTGGGAACGCCTTTTGAATCTAAAATTGTTTTTGGGCAAAATTGCATATTGAATTGTAAAAGAACATTTAAAAAAGATGTTTGAATTAGTTTTATGGTGGTAAAATTGAATAAGCTGTTAAAATTTTTTTGATTTAAAATCTTTTTTTAAGTTATTTTGGTTAAAAAATTAAAAAGTGCTTTTATAAAATCAAGTTTTACATGCTTTTCAAATTTCTTTTAAAAAAACTTTTTAAAGGAAATAAAAAGTCATTATAAAAAAAAGGGTTTTTGAGATTATCAAACATTGTTGTTTCCACCAAACACCCCTCTTGCTAAACTTGAATCACATTAATTAATTTATATTGATCAATATATAAAGCTGATTAATCACGTTCACATATAAATGTGTCAAACTCATCTCATGGAGCCCTACAAAACGAGGAATAAGAACATACTGTTCTTGAAAAGAGACCATATCAAAAAAAGATGTTCTTTACTAAAGCATGGTATGATTGAATTAATTAGACTTTGAAATTACAAACCATAGAAGCAGGTCTCCATGCTCTTGCTCAGAAACTTGGCCTTATAAGTCTCTTGGTTCTCAACATCCTGGATCTTATTTGTATCATGCATTCGGTTTTTCTCGATCGGCACATCTACAAAAAAAAAATGATGATTACCAATTCGCTTAAAAAATAACCATTTCAATCATGACCTATATGGATGATAAGTTATCGCTATCCACAAAATTGGTTTTGTTATATCATGTATATATTTTAGATCATGATCCATTTCAAAGGATAATACGCATTAACATATCACCAATTGATCCTTCCTAAATTATAATCCATATGGCACATCTACAACAAAAAAAAATGAATTTATATCAAGCAAGAAACATACAAGCGTAAACCAATCTTTGGTAGAAGTTATATCGTGTTCCACTGTGATACAAGTCCCACATGCTCGAAATAGACCAGAGTGGTACGCAATGTGCGTTGTCCTGGATGCACTTTGATCTAGCCATGTCAGGGTAATCCTTGATCAACTCATTTGAAGCCTCTGTAATTGGAAACGATGCATATGTCAATATACTTAATTTCTAGAAAAGATGCATATGTCGATGGTTTAATACGTAATAAGGGTTAGATAAGTCACCCAAAAACCCTGATTCAATTGCAGTACTGAGAAGCCGAGCACCGTTTATGCCCTCAAAGGGACTGTGATATCCATCTTCTTGGGAGAGAAGAATATGTTTTTTGCACGCATCAAGCAAGTATAAGAAAGTTCTTCTATGAGAATTTAAACTTGCTGTATGGATAGGTAAGGAGGAATTCCCGTCCAAACTAAATAACAAACATGGATTTTTCTTCACCAACAGCTTTGCAGCCATGGTGTTGTCGATAGCTGCAGCATGGTGAAGTGGGTTTCCGCTATAAATAGTCACCAGAGTTGGAAGTGACTCAGGGTTTATCTCCTTCAACAGATTCTCAAGAAACTGGATGCTTTCCGCCTTCTCTATTGCAATGTGTAGTGCTCTACTCCCCAAATTATCGAGTTTAGCAGTCAATGCATCCTTGTCCTGGTTGAAAATTTCATGCGCTTTTTCCCAGTCGTTCCTTGTAATAGCTCTATATAATGGGAGATACTCCGCTTCATCTATATTTGCATAACAAAATTACAACACTTCATGGAAAAATTAGCAAGAATATAT